CCATGTCTTTATCTCTCATTGAGGAAACATCACTTCCAGGATGCTCCCAGCACCCCTTCCTGTACAACTTGTACCTGTTACTAGAAACTTGTACATACACCAAACCTCACTTGTGTACTAGGTGAGTGTTTCTCAAACTATATGTGGGGAGGAAGCTGTTTTGCTTTGTTTTAATTTTTTTCAGTATCCAACCTACTGCTATAAAAATAAGTGGTGAGAATCATAACTTTAAAAATGGAAAATAACAAGTGCTGGCAAGAGAAATTGGAACCATCACAAACTGTGGTGGAAATGTAAACTGGGCAGCCACTATGGAAAACAGTCATCACTTTCTCAAAAAGTCAAAACCAAGAACTACATACGACGCAACGATGCCACTTCTAGGTGTGTATATATATATGTGTATATATATATATATATATATATATATATATATATATATATATATATATACCTAGACAAACTGAAAACAGACATTCAAACAGAGACTTATACATGATTATTTATAGCAGTGCTACTCACAATCACCAAAAGGTGAACAACCCAAATGCCCATCAACTGTGAACAGGTAAACAAAATATATTTTTATACAATGTAATATTATTCAGCACAAAAAGTAATGAAGTACTGATAGATGCTTCAACTTGTGCGAAACTTGAAAATATTACGTGCTCAGTGAAAAAAGCCAGTCACATAAGGGCACATATTATATGATTCCATTTACACAAAACACCCAGAATAGACAAATCCCTCGAGACAGAATGCAGCTTAGTGGTTACCAGGGGCTGGAGGAAGGGAGAATGGGGAAGGACTGCTTAATAGACATGGGTCTCCTTCCGAGGCGAATAAAATGCCTTGAAACTAGACAGAGGTAATGGTTGCCCAAAATCATGACTCTACTAAATGCCACTGATTTTTATACTTTAAAATGATAACTAGTTAATTTCTGTATCAGGTGAAGGTTACTTCAATAAAAAAAATTACTAGAAAAATAAAGGACAAAAAATACAAGCCCCTATTTTTTACTAAATTCCACAGACATGAAATTGCTGTCAAGCTGCTAAAGTTTTCGGTTAATTGTAATTCCTTTACTTATCTCCTTTTAGACCAGAAACAAAGCTCTCCACAGACCCTTGCCAGTCTGTGGCCCCCACTCCGGGGACCACTGCCTTAGATCCCATTCTGTCTCAGGACGCTGCCACTGTCCCTGTGCCCCCATGCATGCCTCGCACCAGCTGACACCTTCCTTCTGTTGGGTTACGCCCTTCAGCACACAGCCTATCATAGTATTTCCCTTCCTTGAACTCACGTCTTACTCTAGTCAGTGCTCCTTTCCACCACCCCCTCACAGCAGAACTCCCTGCGGCACTGTCTGTGCTCACTGCCCCACGCTTCTCTGCCAGAGGCTCCTGAGGGACAGTCAGGCTTTGGGTCTCACTTCCCCACCAAAGCTCTACTTGCAAGGTCATCAATCTTCTCCACCTTGCAGCAGCCAATGGTCAGTTCCAGCCCTCATTCCATTTGGTTTATTGGCATTATTTGACTCTTTTCATTGAAATGCTTTCTCTAGTTGGCTTCCAAGACACACCATTCATTCCTAGTTTTTCTCCTGCCCCACAGGCTGCTCCGTATTACTCACCCTTTTGCTGGTCCTCCTCATCTACCAGAGGTCTCAACACTGAAGGACCCCAGGGTTCAATCCTTGGTGCTGCTTCTCCATCTACACTCACTTCTCCAGGGGAATCTCATCATACTGACTTCAAATAACATCTATGCACTGAACTATCGAGACCTTATTTCAATCTTCATACATACAACTGCCATTTGACAATCCACTTGGATGACTCATGAACATCTCAAACTAAATATGTGCAAAATTAAACTCCAAACTCCCATGAACCTGTTTTTCCCATGATCTTCTTTACCTCAATAAATGGAAACTCCAGTTTTCTACTTGGTCAGGTTAAACATTAGGGAGTGATCCTCTACTCTTTCCTTCTTGGCCCACCCCAAATCCATCAGCAAATCTTGTTGGTCCTATCTTCAAAATACATTTAGAATTCACAACCACTTGTCAGCACACCACACTCGCTCCCTGACTAAGCCACTGTCATCTTCTGCAAGAATTATTGCTGTAGCCTTTTAACTGGTCCCCTGCTTCCACATTGCATCTCTATAGTCTATTATTAAACAGTAGCCAGAGTGATGTTTAAAAACCACAAGGAAGACTTGTCACCTCTATGCTGAAAACTCTCCAGTGGATTCCCAGTTCATTTGAAATAAAAGCCAAAGTGTTTGCAATGGTTTACAAAGTCCTACTTAACCAGACCTGCCATCTCTCTGATCTACCTCCTAACACATTTCAGGATATGAAAAGGAGAGTAAGTCCTAGCATTTTTACAAAGAAAAACACTGAATAGGAGTAACATGGCAAAAGGAAAACTTTCCCTGTAATTCTTTTCCTCCTTACATTCTATTTCCATGTTGCAATATTTAGCAAAACCTTGGACTTGGACTCATTTCTTTAGATGATTAAGAGAGGTTATGGTTGTCTGTAAAGATACTGAAGAAAAAATGGATTTAATGGACAAATGAATACTTAAATAAGACTTTAAAGAAAATATTAAACCCACTGAAAATACTGGCTTTCAAATTACTTAGAAGTTCTCACTTAGAATAACTGATATACTATTTACAAGTCATTAACTTATTTATAAACCTAACCAACCAAAGGACCACAACTCAAACTTGACAAATTGATACCTATAACGGGTTATCAGCCAGCCTTTGTTACACTCTCACAAATAAATAACTGTTGTCCCCATCCCGACTCAAGGAATCTGTCACTAGCCTCAGCCCCATTAAGGGCCTTATTTGCTCCCAAAGAGCTCCCCACACTTGTGTCAATACTGATGATAAAAGCAAGGATCCAATGCCCCAGGAGAGTAGACCAGGGGTGTCCTTGTGGATGCCCAAACATGACTTTCTCTTTCCTTTTCCCTTCCCCACCAACTCTATAAAAATCTCATGCAATGTACTGCCCATGATATTTGGAACTACCACATATTTGAAAGTCAGAAAGCCATATTTCTCTTAAAAAATTAGCTGAGACTTGCATTTTATATTAATTCATCCTCTCTTTTCCCATGACAATTCCAAAATAGGTCTTACTGAGATTTTACTGCAATTCTTCCTGGCCAATTCCCTCATGTCTGAAGCTAGTGAGTTAGAGGGGTACCGGAAGGTTAAACCACACTTTCAAATAAACATAGATAGAACCAGAAAAGTTCTGAGAAATTCTAGGTGTTATTCACTCAGTCTTCCCCTATGAACACTGGCATGGCCAGTCTTTTCTTTCTTGGACTGTAACCTCTTTCCTCTGAGTCTGTTTATTTTCTGCCACAAATTCAAATGCCTATTGCTCTTCTCCAAATTCATTCTTCTCTGCTCTAATAAATTTCCTCTTATCTTTTTGTCTTATTGCCTTGCTCTGAATTTACACCTTTTCTCAAGAATGCCAGTGCTTCTAAAAAACATTCCATTATTCCTGGAGAAAGAAGCTCAGGCACTTTCTTCCTGAAAACAGGTTTCATTGCTAATGTTCTGAATGAAGGAATGTTTCTTTAAAGGCCTCATCCTTAAGTTGCTCACTGGTTCAATGAGACAATGAGGACTGTGACCTTTCAGGATTGTTTCCTTACAGAACAAGCTTACTTAAAAATAGTACCTAAATCATTTGTTCATTCATTCATCACTCAACCAATAAACAGCAAATAAAAGGTATCACAGCAGACAAAAAGGTATGTGAGATGCGTGATCTCTATCCTTAAGGAGCTTACCGTCCAGATAAATATACATAATCAAAGTATGAAAGAAAGACTGTATGGGCACATGTTACACAGTATGAATATTTTTAATAGAGATGTATTTGTCTATTCCAATGAAATATGATTATTAATAAAAGTCACAGTATAATCAATAACGTGGACTTCAATCTCTCTTTAGTTCACACTGATCACATCCCTCAACCTATATATTCTATGTTAATGGAATCCTTCACTTTATTTTAATATGATTTAAATAAAGTGTTAAGATGCCCAGCTTTTTTAGACTTAATTGTTCTAAATTTAAAGTATGGTTCTGATTCTCATTCTCTAAGCACTTGCTTTACAGAGAAACAAGTTCTCTATAGAGAGTCAAGTTACTGAAAAAGCAAACTTCTTTTATTTAGTCCAAGCTAAGTTCTAGTAGTTTCTCTACCCAGTCATTCACGATTGCCCTAATTTCTGCTTATGGCCTCAACTGTGAATGCTTCTCACTTCCCCAGATCAAAAGATGATGCTTAAATATAAAGAACTTGAGAACAGGTCCTGGAACTACAGCAGCCATAAAAGACATCTATCACCACAGTGTAAATGTTGGGGAGAAGGTTAAAATTGAAGTTGAGCAATTGTGTATTTCAAAGTGCTCTGGTTCATTAAACAGTCATTTTTTACTTTAAAGCCATTTTATCAAAGTTATTTGCATTGCTACTGCATAAACTCTGAGATCTATTGTGTTCAAAAATGTTTTATTATGTTATTTTATTTCTTCCCCCAAAAGATAAATACACCTTCAATTTTAAAATGGAAAAGTTTCAGAAAATGAGTATTCAGTATATGGAAATTCACTTCAAAAATATCAGGACTTGGACTCACATTTAAAGCGCCTCTGTATTTCATATTGATCCTCAGAAAACACACTTTTTGCTTCTGAGGACAGTGTCTTATCTTACTCTTATCATTCCAGGTACACAGAAAAGGTAAATATAATATTAAGAATATAGCAAAGCAAAATCATTCCATACCAAAAAAATTTAAAGGTACTATATAGGAGTCACAGAGCAATGAACTTTCCAGCAGCTCCTAACTGATAAGCCCTCAGAGAGCCAGAGGCCCAGTCTAGACACTCGTCCTCTCCCTGCCACCCCCCAGGTCCAGCCTGAGTAACCAGACACCTACCACTTGCTTTGGCTTCCGGGTAAGCAGGGCCATCCTCAAAAGTGAAGATCTGGGGCACGCTCTGGCCCAGGTAGGAGGGAGGCGGGTAGTAAGAATGCATCCTGTACTGGGAACTCATGGCATGGCGGTTGTCCGAGGTTTTCATCTGCTTAAGAAAAAAGACAAAATATATTGAGACTGAAGTTCCATTTTACAATCATTTCAAAAATTCCCTAATTCTTTAAATTAAGGGAACAGCCTACTAAGTTGGAAGTACCCTCCAGCTATGAACATGCCCTCTAGTATACTGACCCTGAAAACACTAGAACTATGCATTCCAAGGTGCCTTTTCTACCCAGGGTCCTTGCTAAAGCACCTCTAAAATTCCATCTCATCATACAATGCCCAATTAACGAGGAATAAAGAGAATAAGGCAGGAAAGACGGGAGAGCATGCTTTTGGAGCCAACAGTCTGCTGCGACACTGACTAGCTCGTTTGACCGGCAGCCAGTCTTTGAACCTCCTCACGTGTCCTCGCATGTAAAACTGGCATCTTCCCTTAGTTAACTCTCTCAGTGTTCATAAAGGGAGTATTTTTTAAAACACAACATGACAATAGTGTGGAGGTAAGCTGTTGCTGTGCTGGATATTGTCACTCAGCATCCATCCCAGCCTCCCTCTGCCCCACCCCCAGCCTTCTCTATGCTATTCCCTCTAACGAGGAACAAAAGTTTGATATCTGTTTCACAGACTCTCCTGTCACCAGAGTTCTGGAGGTGATTAGGATTCTGCTAACAAGACATGGAGTGAACTATGGGAGACGGAAGGGAAGGCAGAAGGGACCACATGCTGTCCCTCCAGCAGCAGAGAGCAGCTGACACTTGGCATTCATGCATTCTTTTCTGGCAATTTGACCTCGCCTTTGAAACCACAGGACAGCTTCTATGTAAGGAGCAGTTCACATAGCTACTTGGCCTCTCACTCAACGCTAGGGAGGCAGGACCTGCAGGTATAAAGGAATGCCCCCCTTCCCCCTTCCACCTTACTGGCTCCTCCCAGCCACTTCTATGAACACCTAGAACTGTTCTGTTTCCTGCACACACCTTGGTACAGGCACGGAACATTAATGCACCATCATATTTTCACAGCAAGAACATCTAGACTTCAATTATTTATACTGCTTTAAAATACTAAATGTAAATGGTATTAATTTTATCAAAAAAGAAGTCAACCTAAGGGAATATTCAGAATAAGCCAATTCTGTTCTAGAATTAAGGAATGATTTTGAAATTATGTTTTTCAATCAAGTCTCTAGAAAGCTACTTGATTAAAAAAAAAGTACTAACTTACAAACCCTGGTAGGATAAAATTAAGTATAGGGCTTCCTCAAGATCTTCTATGGACATCCAAAGTTTGGACAATGCCTCAAGTAATATAAGCTGAAGTGTACTTTGAATATTATAGCATTGCTTGGTGGAAAGGCCCAAGTCCTTGATTTTCCATGTGTTGATTTGAGTAGCTCAAGGAGGTCATTTTTGCCCTTCCCAGCTGCTCCCCAGCACAAAGGTATGCTTGATGAGTGGACTATTCTTGTAGAAGCAAAGAAGGCACCATTCCACTTAATTACCTTTCAAGTGAAGTTTATCTGGCAAGTTCCTTTTATCCTTTCTAGTTTCTTTTCCTGAAGCATATAAAATGATACCTCTTCCAGCTCAATCATCCAATTTTCATTTTCTACCATCATATAAATCTTTACTAAATAAGTGGGCATGCAAGCAATGCTTGGAAAGAGCAAAAGGGGGAAACCTGGCCATTCTTAATGCGTGAGCCCAAGTGAGGAGAGCCGTTAAGGAGCTGGGAGATCATTAAGGAGGAAAGTGACAACAAATGAAAATGGTATTTCCTGCACTGACCCAATTATCAGTTATAGACCAATGCTTCCCAATGCTCTCTTGATATGTACAAAAACAGCCTGGGGATCCTGTGAAAAAGTAGATTCTGACTCTGTAAGTCTGGGGTGGGGCCTCAGAGTCTAACTCACCCTCAGGAGAGCTGATTCTGTTGGCTCAAAAACTTCATTGTGTTGCCCTGGTTGGTGTGGCTCAGTGGATTGAGTGCCAACCTGTGAAGCAAGGGGTCATGGGTTCGATTCCCAGTCAGGGCATATGCCTAGGTTGCAGGTCAGGTTCCCAGTAGGGGGAGTGCAAGAGGCAACCACACATTGATCTTTGCCTTCCTCCCTTCCCCTCTAAAAATAAGTGAAATCTTTTGAAAAGAACAAAAATCTCATTGTGGTGACAAGGGACTAATAGGGATGTCGAACCCGCAGCCTGCAGGCTGAATGCAGCTCAGGATGGCTATAAATGTGGCCTAACACAAAATCATAAATTTACTTAAAACATTATGAAAATTTTTTTGTGATTGTGTATTATAATGTATTTAATGTGTGACCCAAGACAACTCTTCTTCTTCCAGTGTGGCACAGAGACGCCAAAAGGCTGGACACCTCCAGATGATCCTTTCTCTCATACTTAGTGCCATTAGTGGCCCATGACCATAGAAAGACCTTCTAAAAACTCTTTTGATCAAATGTTTACACCCGTCAACTTTCCATCTGAACTACGAGAAGGCAGAAATGATGTCATTTAAAATTTTTCAGTAGTCTTATTTTTACATATGAGATTCCTCAGAACTAAAGGATTTTTTTCCAGGGGTCTCCCACCATCTAGAATTGCTGCAGCGGTAATAACCAACTCAAAATACACTTTGCACGAGAGAAACATTTCTGCCTCTACAGGCCTTTCCTCAAGCTGATTACACAGTCTCGGTAATGAACATTAATTAGAAGACAAGTGCCAACTGTTCATCACCAAGGGTCCTAACATAAACAATGGTGCCTCCCTGTCTGGGGCTGAGCTGGTCACATCTCCCTCTGGTGTGACAAGATCTTCTAGTCAGTTCTTCAAAAAAATGCTTTTCAATTTCCCCCAGGTGCAAGAAAATTGGAAGGATTTAAGCCTATAAACTTGCAAAATGCTGGATTCTTTCCTTTTACTATCAGTTTTGTATAAAGCCCCTTTTCAAAATATCTGAAAAACAGTAACTGAGTTTAGAGCCAGGGTCGCCAAACTTTTTGTTAAATAGTAAATATATTAGGTTTTACAAGCCATAGGGCCTCTAGACAATCAGTAAATGAATGAGGGTGGCTACGTTACATAAAACTTTATTTACAAAAATGTGCCCTCATTCTCAGCCTTTACCCCCACCAGAACAGGGAGAGCAGAGGCCTGCGCTGAGGCCTGGGCTCCATCCCCAAAGAGTTGTACCTCACTGGTCTGGGATTCCACCTGGGCCCTGGGTTATTTCAAAGCTGCACAGGTAATTCTAGTTGAAACCAGACTGAAACAGTTAGAATTACCTATAACTAGTGTTACCTATGTTTTCCATACCCCAAGAAGTACGAAATCCCAACATCCCCAGTAGTACCGTAACTAAAAAATAAAAAAGTTTAACTCTGATAAACAGACTGGACAACTGCTGCCAATAGAGATGCAGATAAACTGGAGTTCTTTTTCTTTAACTAAAGCTTGCTGGAAAATAAACACATTATCAAATCCATGCATGATTACTTTCCACCTTAGTACCTTTTCTTTTTTTTTTTTTAGAAAGCATCAGATAACAAGTATTATTTGGAAATAGGAATTGAGTTATTTGAACTCAAACATTCAATTTCCCCAATGAATCCCCAAGATCACTGGGCTATAAAAAACTTTCGGCAAAAGAAGAAAAAGATACAAAGGGTCAGACTCCATCAGAGTTGTCAAAATGTGAACTTACTGAGACCATCAATCACTTCCACTACTTCCAATGGGAAGAATAATGTACAAATAACCATCCACATGACAACATGGGCATAAGAAAGAAATACCATTCTATGTACTTCTAAGTGCATGTGCAAACCTCTGAAACATGAAGTTAAAACTGAACTGTGATTCACCCAGAAAGCCCAGAAAAGAGCGTGACCAAATGCGATTTAAACCTCCAAATCACTTCTTGCTCCAAATCTTAAAAAAAAAAAAAATTACAGTCCTGTTGCTTTAGGGTTAGACAAAAGGGGTAAATAAGGAAACTTTGAAATTTGTTGCTTTACTTTAAGCCAGCAGTGCTCAGCGAAGGGTGATTTGTGCCCGGAGGGCATTTAGCAAAATCGGGAGACACTTTTGATTGTCACACTGGCTGGGGGTGAGGAGGTGCTACTGGCATGTAGTGAATCCATACCAAAGATGCTGCTGAACACCCTACAATGCACAGGACAGTGCCCACCACAAAGAATTACACAGCCCAACATTTCAATAGTGCCAAGGTTGAGAAACTTGCTTCAAGCTAACCTAACCCTACCATCCCCTTGTGCTCAGCCCATCATCTCCACTAAAACAGCAAAGTTCTGCTGACGGACAAAGGTGCCCCCAAGTTAAAGGAACTGTTCACTTCTTCTAAAAGGATCGAATTTTTCCCCTTTATGCATTCCTGCCTTAATGTTCTCTAGGTTTTTTATTCCTTTAAATTAAACAAAGTAAAACCAAAAAATCCAGGATTCCAGTGAATTATAACTACTATTATTATTAACGTGGTAGCTTGCAAACAAGAGGCTTGTTTTATAATCTTATTAGCCATCCCAAGTCTCTGAAGCAGAGTACAACCTGTGGACAGGAGCTCAGCTGGTCGGCTAGTGCATGGTGTCACTAACTATTAACCCTGAAGGAGAACCTAAGAGCTTTAGATTTTATTTTATTAAACTGTTGGGAGCATACAGCACAATAAATCTGAATCATTGGTTTCATTTTACATACCTTAGTCACCCTTTTTCATAGTAACAATAAAATCCCAATAAAACATAAATGTTAGACCTCACTTTCTTCTCTTGTTCCCCCTTCTTCCTTGTCCCTCTGGTCCTCTAGGCTTAGTTTTATCTCTCCTAACTTCGTTCACTTCCATGACTGCACTCATCTTGTTCATATTGTAAAATGCCTTCCACTCTCCTCCCTAGAGGGAGAAAGAGAAAAGGAGACAGAAGGAGACTGGCCTTGTGAGGACTCTGGCCCCAGGAGGGGATTCTTGCAAAGCCTGGGTGGACACCTTCAAGGAGCCAAAGAGGAAGGTGCTGAG